TTTGCTTTGTTCCACTTACCGTCGTGACCATTTGTTTTTTTTCGTTCAGTGTATAATAAAACAATTATTAGATTCGGTTTTTGTGATATCTAGAATAATCAAGGTCTCGGTAAGGGTTATCAGCCTCAGCCCTCCTCGACCTTGATTATTCTGGATATCACAAAAACCTCATCGAATAATTGTTTATTAAGATTCACGTTTACGCCAAACTTGTACAAGGTGACCAAGTTTTCCCCTTAATTGTCGTTTACTGTTTATTGCTTCTTCCCCAAATTAAGTAGTTTTACTCCCGTGTTATCCACAAGAATTGTTCCTGTTGTTCTGGGTTGTTTTTATCTGCTTATTCTCTATTTTGAGAAATTCTCAACTAGAATCTGCGGACGTTTCGCGTTTGCCGCAAACGTGACTCTTAAATTAATCTCTCTATTATCGAAAAGGGGTGACCAGCAGGCTAGCCAGGTGACCCGCTTTTAGTGGAGCCACCTTTTTGTTTCTCATGTAAATGGCTCGCCAAGTTTTGTGAGGAAATGAAGGAAAAGTTGGCTCGACCAAAGTAGTCTAGGTAGGCGAGCGACTTTTCTGTCCTGGACAAGTCTTCCCCATATAAACGGGAAGCGGTGATAATCGCACAAGTACGGTACTATAAGGTATCACGCCGGAGAGAACAGAATTCTCTTTAAACTGTTTAGTAGATGTTCCTCGAAGATTTAGTAAAATGGTGATATTTTTTAATCTACTTATAGCCCCGACTTTCTCTATACGATAATTGGTATTTAAGACAGGGAGAGAAATCGATGTTTTGTATTGATTTATGTTGCTTGGATACCAAAAGTAGTTCAAACACTTCTAAAAACAAAACGACTGTGCAAATCTTACAATGAATAAAACAATCAGGTTAAGATAAAAAGTCAAATGTGCTATTTTCCTCGCAGCTGCTGTTTGATACAAACGCTGTCACTTTCTGGCCTCATAAAGGCAACAAGTTTATAGGGAGCGTCGTCTATTAATTTTTAGGTTGCTTCTCCCTTAATGACAATTTTTCAAAAGATTCTGAATTAAAATAATAATAAAATCGTTTTTCATGTTTTTCAGTTTTCAAATTTTCGGAATGCATTCTGATAAAGTTAACAGATGTATATTAATATTTGTCTCGGCTGGTAGTAAACCGAAACCTCACATTTATAAAATTATTTCCGTTTATCCAAAAGCGACTTCTAATAATACACATGATTTATCTGTATTTTCTAACATAAAAACAAAAGATGAAAATAAACAACAAAGCTTTTTTGTATCCCTTATGCCTGAATACTGTGGTTAGAAGTAAATACAGCTTTTGAAGAGAACACATAAACCCGCAGTAGATTAAGATTCTTTCCAGCCTGAACTATGTTGCCGGGATATCACCTGACTGAAACGTTTCTGTAACAGGCGTGCAAACATGTTATATAATTTTTGCCCTCTTTTGCGTTAAGCGAGAAAAGCAATAGTTTTATTTCCATCAAAACTGATTTCTTGAAGCAAATAATAGGCACCTTTGTGATGAGAGATTAGAGCGAATTGCTGCAAGGCCTTGCGTTTGAGGAAGGCTAAATGCTAGACAAAATGGCATTATAAATAGACCTGCAAGCAAATGAAGTACAATTGTTCACAAATTTTAGCGGATTTTGTATCACCTCGGACATAGGAACGGTTCATATGACCAATGTTTGATCGTTTAAGCCTTTTGCTTATTCTTGACAAGGGAAACTGTGAACGAACCTAAATTTCGATATGAAGTTGTTAACCTGTTCACTCCCTCTGGACAAACTCGGAAGCTCTCCATCTTAGCTTGTTTTAAAACACTCCTTAAGCAAAGAAATACGTCCGAATACATTGCACTTACAGAATGAATGTTAAATACTGTTAAGTATATATCTGTACTGAAAAGCCATTTAGGAGATGAGTATGTCTCCTTTCGAATTCACGTACGTGAAGAGAAACGTGCTTTCGAACTGGGCGGCCTCGAAAGCAAAACCAATAAAATGATATAAGGTCAGTAAGAGATAGGTACCAGGATTATGAAATTGACAGATAACGCTTATATCTTACCTAGTAATTACTGGAGACCGTATGCCGCAAGGTTAAGTGATCCTGTGCGCTTCATTTGGCTCAAATCAACTAGGTTCCGCCATTACAGTTGTTTAAATGAGGGCTATCACAGTTTTAAAACACCGATTATGCATAAATTATGCAAACACCCTAGGGTTGATGGGACATTGAACAATTAACAACCTGCTTTGTACCCGCTCAGAGTGAAAACGCAATAACAAAATGTAGATTGTTCTCAGGTGTCGAGTTCCTTTATGGCACATGCTCTCGTATTTCAAGTACTCCTTTTTGTTTCGACACGAGTTTAATGAGTTTTTGCTCTTTCAATTGCTAAATTATCCAACGCAATTCGAGAAATCCTTAAATAGAAACTGAATATTCCCGGGTATGCACATGTGGTTTGTGATTTTACGCAGCTTGTACCGATAGAATTGCGGAGCACAAACAAGACCGTAAGAAAATAAGGCCTATCTATCATTTATTCAAAAGAATTCTTAATTAACCTTACATCCTTTCTGTAGAAACACAGGGGGGAATAATCGACTGATTACCAAATACATAGCCGCTTGGTGTCAAAATAAAGCTGGTTACAGATCGCAAATCCAGTCTTGGGGGCACAAGCGAAGGGCGATCTTGACGGTGACAGCAATTTTCACTTTTCAATTTATGGCTGAAGTGGATACAACTGTGGATAGTCATTTTTGTGCATGTCCAATTCTACATGATGATAATACCTTTGAAAAAGTCGCTTAACAAAGAAAAAGACTTGGAGTAAGTCTCTGTCCAATTCAAATTGTTGCGATTTTATTTAGAGATATTACGCCCATAAGGCTATTCCTATTCTGAATCCGTGACTACGGCGTGTCATTTAATAAACCGGAAGATTCATGTATTGTAACTAAATCTCATGTAATAAGTTTCGCTAAAAATACCCTTCCCCCTCCAAAACACACTTTTTAAAAACCACCTTTGACGCAAGCTGGGGCTCATGATATTCTTGTTGCGAATTTAAATGTGCTCTCTTTGCGCTGTTCATTCATCACCGGATGTAGTTTAGCTTAAGCACTCCGAAAAAATATTAACAACAGTGCGTAACCTGTTATTAACAGGGCGGGGCGGCTCTAATCGTGAAATTAAATTTTCGACGATCTCGACCCAGACGTCTACTCACGTGGTTGAGTAAGCTGTACAAGAGATAAAAAAGGATCGCATTACCGCGAAATAACATAAAACTGCGCCACCCGAATTTAAGCGTTCTCAGCGCCTTTAATATTTCATGTTTTGTAGATTTGCTGTGCACTCGGATCCATCCATGTCCCAGCATTCAGTTCGTGCATTTAATCCAAAATGAGCGCTCCACTGGGCACTAGTCACAAAACAAATATGGCGGACGGCGGCTGTAATGCATTGTAATGCGTTGTTTATTATCGAGATTTTTAGCAAGAGGAGGCCAAATAAGAGATTCATACAATAGCTTCCTTCGGTTCTGAAATTTTTGAACGTACGCCTGACATATTTGCGTGATGTCGTTAGTTGCATATGGAAGCAGCGGCGAAGAAAGTGACTCGAGCGATTCGGAGGAGGTTCAAAGCTCTCGTGTTTCTAAAGAACTGATAATTACAAATAATGATGGCCAGGAAGATGGGGAAAAGCTTACCTCCACTGGAGAAGGAAGAGAAGAGGAGAATAAAACGGGTTTAGTTCTGCCGTCGCCCAAACAACTCAGTGAAACTTCAAATTCTGTCAAAAGCAAGGGAAGCTTTAGCTTATCATCGTTTCTTCCTAAGCCCAAAAACATCAGCAATCGTGAGAAGGAGAGCACAGATACTTCAGATGAAAAACCTTCAATCAGCTCATCAGCGATGATGGATGATGAAGAGGAGATTTTAGAGATCGAAGAAGACTATGAGCCTATTGTAAAACGAACCAAAAAGATTCAATCAACTGAAATTGAGGATAAGCCAAAGTCTGTTGGAAGTTTGTTTTCTCTTCTCCCTTCTCCCTGGCAAGCTGAAAACTCTTGGTTAAAATCTGCTAACCCTAAAGTAAAGGCAAAGAGTAAACAGACTACGTCTGAAGAGAGAGGTTCCAAACAACCTGTCAAAATTGCTATTCCCATTGCCCCAAAGGTAAGACAAACAGAGATTGCAAGTAGTGTTTAACGGGGTATTAACAATGATACTACTATGATTTCATACCAGCTTGATCTTATCTGGGTTCTTTTGGCTCTGTATTTGCTTACACAATTCCAGCAGAAATGCTAGTATCACTGCAGCCATGCTGGGACAAGTTCATTTTATTCCCCACTTCCTTGCGAAGTTGAGATTAGTAAGTTTTTCGTCGCAGTATGGAAAGTTTTACTGGTATCATGCAAATGCAGGGAATGACTCATTGTACAATGAATTTAGACCCCTGACGGACTGTTTTGGTGACCACATGCATGAAGATATTTTTATCATTAGATGATGCCTGGATAATGCCCTAAGTGACCTCTGATAAAATGCTAGGCTCTTCTTTCCATCACCTTGTATACATGTATATATACACACTTGATAATCAAAAGAGAATTTGTAATTAGATCAGAAGTTACTTGGGACCTTGATTTTGTGCACCCCTTCATTTAATCCAATGAAGTTGGAAAGTCGCTGCAGATTTGATCTGGTATAACAGATGATGTAGACTGCAAAACAGTCCTTATTTTTGCGTATTCAAGTAAGCGCGAGCAGTCAAACAAAAGGTCTGGAACGAGGCTGAAAACAGAGAGTGAGACTGGGGAGAGACGCTAAAAATACTACTACTACTACTACTACTACTACTACTACTACTACTACTACTACTACTACTACTACTACTACTACTACTANAGTATATATCTGTACTGAAAAGCCATTTAGGAGATGAGTATGTCTCCTTTCGAATTCACGTACGTGAAGAGAAACGTGCTTTCGAACTGGGCGGCCTCGAAAGCAAAACCAATAAAATGATATAAGGTCAGTAAGAGATAGGTACCAGGATTATGAAATTGACAGATAACGCTTATATCTTACCTAGTAATTACTGGAGACCGTATGCCGCAAGGTTAAGTGATCCTGTGCGCTTCATTTGGCTCAAATCAACTAGGTTCCGCCATTACAGTTGTTTAAATGAGGGCTATCACAGTTTTAAAACACCGATTATGCATAAATTATGCAAACACCCTAGGGTTGATGGGACATTGAACAATTAACAACCTGCTTTGTACCCGCTCAGAGTGAAAACGCAATAACAAAATGTAGATTGTTCTCAGGTGTCGAGTTCCTTTATGGCACATGCTCTCGTATTTCAAGTACTCCTTTTTGTTTCGACACGAGTTTAATGAGTTTTTGCTCTTTCAATTGCTAAATTATCCAACGCAATTCGAGAAATCCTTAAATAGAAACTGAATATTCCCGGGTATGCACATGTGGTTTGTGATTTTACGCAGCTTGTACCGATAGAATTGCGGAGCACAAACAAGACCGTAAGAAAATAAGGCCTATCTATCATTTATTCAAAAGAATTCTTAATTAACCTTACATCCTTTCTGTAGAAACACAGGGGGGAATAATCGACTGATTACCAAATACATAGCCGCTTGGTGTCAAAATAAAGCTGGTTACAGATCGCAAATCCAGTCTTGGGGGCACAAGCGAAGGGCGATCTTGACGGTGACAGCAATTTTCACTTTTCAATTTATGGCTGAAGTGGATACAACTGTGGATAGTCATTTTTGTGCATGTCCAATTCTACATGATGATAATACCTTTGAAAAAGTCGCTTAACAAAGAAAAAGACTTGGAGTAAGTCTCTGTCCAATTCAAATTGTTGCGATTTTATTTAGAGATATTACGCCCATAAGGCTATTCCTATTCTGAATCCGTGACTACGGCGTGTCATTTAATAAACCGGAAGATTCATGTATTGTAACTAAATCTCATGTAATAAGTTTCGCTAAAAATACCCTTCCCCCTCCAAAACACACTTTTTAAAAACCACCTTTGACGCAAGCTGGGGCTCATGATATTCTTGTTGCGAATTTAAATGTGCTCTCTTTGCGCTGTTCATTCATCACCGGATGTAGTTTAGCTTAAGCACTCCGAAAAAATATTAACAACAGTGCGTAACCTGTTATTAACAGGGCGGGGCGGCTCTAATCGTGAAATTAAATTTTCGACGATCTCGACCCAGACGTCTACTCACGTGGTTGAGTAAGCTGTACAAGAGATAAAAAAGGATCGCATTACCGCGAAATAACATAAAACTGCGCCACCCGAATTTAAGCGTTCTCAGCGCCTTTAATATTTCATGTTTTGTAGATTTGCTGTGCACTCGGATCCATCCATGTCCCAGCATTCAGTTCGTGCATTTAATCCAAAATGAGCGCTCCACTGGGCACTAGTCACAAAACAAATATGGCGGACGGCGGCTGTAATGCATTGTAATGCGTTGTTTATTATCGAGATTTTTAGCAAGAGGAGGCCAAATAAGAGATTCATACAATAGCTTCCTTCGGTTCTGAAATTTTTGAACGTACGCCTGACATATTTGCGTGATGTCGTTAGTTGCATATGGAAGCAGCGGCGAAGAAAGTGACTCGAGCGATTCGGAGGAGGTTCAAAGCTCTCGTGTTTCTAAAGAACTGATAATTACAAATAATGATGGCCAGGAAGATGGGGAAAAGCTTACCTCCACTGGAGAAGGAAGAGAAGAGGAGAATAAAACGGGTTTAGTTCTGCCGTCGCCCAAACAACTCAGTGAAACTTCAAATTCTGTCAAAAGCAAGGGAAGCTTTAGCTTATCATCGTTTCTTCCTAAGCCCAAAAACATCAGCAATCGTGAGAAGGAGAGCACAGATACTTCAGATGAAAAACCTTCAATCAGCTCATCAGCGATGATGGATGATGAAGAGGAGATTTTAGAGATCGAAGAAGACTATGAGCCTATTGTAAAACGAACCAAAAAGATTCAATCAACTGAAATTGAGGATAAGCCAAAGTCTGTTGGAAGTTTGTTTTCTCTTCTCCCTTCTCCCTGGCAAGCTGAAAACTCTTGGTTAAAATCTGCTAACCCTAAAGTAAAGGCAAAGAGTAAACAGACTACGTCTGAAGAGAGAGGTTCCAAACAACCTGTCAAAATTGCTATTCCCATTGCCCCAAAGGTAAGACAAACAGAGATTGCAAGTAGTGTTTAACGGGGTATTAACAATGATACTACTATGATTTCATACCAGCTTGATCTTATCTGGGTTCTTTTGGCTCTGTATTTGCTTACACAATTCCAGCAGAAATGCTAGTATCACTGCAGCCATGCTGGGACAAGTTCATTTTATTCCCCACTTCCTTGCGAAGTTGAGATTAGTAAGTTTTTCGTCGCAGTATGGAAAGTTTTACTGGTATCATGCAAATGCAGGGAATGACTCATTGTACAATGAATTTAGACCCCTGACGGACTGTTTTGGTGACCACATGCATGAAGATATTTTTATCATTAGATGATGCCTGGATAATGCCCTAAGTGACCTCTGATAAAATGCTAGGCTCTTCTTTCCATCACCTTGTATACATGTATATATACACACTTGATAATCAAAAGAGAATTTGTAATTAGATCAGAAGTTACTTGGGACCTTGATTTTGTGCACCCCTTCATTTAATCCAATGAAGTTGGAAAGTCGCTGCAGATTTGATCTGGTATAACAGATGATGTAGACTGCAAAACAGTCCTTATTTTTGCGTATTCAAGTAAGCGCGAGCAGTCAAACAAAAGGTCTGGAACGAGGCTGAAAACAGAGAGTGAGACTGGGGAGAGACGCTAAAAATACTACTACTACTACTACTACTACTACTACTACTACTACTACTACTACTACTACTACTACTACTACTACTACTACTAATAATAATAATAATGAAGGTCGAGGTAAGTGTTATCAGCCGAGCTGAAGGCCGAGGCTGATAACACTTACCGAGACCTTCATTATACCAGATATCACAAAAACCTTATCCAACAATGATATTGTTTATTGACCTTTATTATTCATTGTTGGAAATCATGCATTGTGCGTGCAACCAATAGATTAGTTAGTTATCTGCTAGTGCTGATTTCCAAACTTAACTGTAGCCAATGAGAAGATAGATATACCTAATTGCACGCGAAAAGAGATAATAATTACTTCAAGAGATAGTTAAACTTTCTATTTTCCTTTGTGTTTTTAAATTATTTACAAGTTGTGTACAGTTAAGGGGTATTCCATTTATTGTACAACAATATACATACTTTTTAATAAACAGGATGAGTAGATCTAGTCAGCTTCTGAGGTTATCATTTATAGGACCAGGGATATAGTTCCACGTGGCAAAATGGAAAATATTTCAACTTACAATGCAACAATAAGAATTTAATAATGGCTATTTTTACTTTGATTATCAGACTGATTCAGATGATGAAGATGATAGTCCTGCTGCAAAGAAAATCATACCATCAAAGGTAACGCACTTTAAATGAATGACTAGTGTTCGTGGATTCCAGGGGGAGATTTAAAGTTCCAAGTGGAGAGATAAATTTTTGTCACTTTTTGTTAACTTCAATACCCTTTAAGTCCCAATAGTGACCCAGGGAGAGGGTTTTCAATAAGAGCTGGTGGCTGGCAAAATTCACCTGGCTATTTCACGTGAAATCACCGCCTATTTTTCTATGGAAATTATCCCAGTTTAAATACAGTATTTATGACAGTGCTGTCACTGGATAAAAAAGCTAAAATTTAATGATGTCTGTGTTCCATTCAAACACTTTAATTTTTGCTCCAGAATGCTAAAAATGCATTCTAAGAGGCCCAGATTTTAAAATTTTTCCAGAAACTCATGCCTTCAGCACTCACAAGTCGTGCCTTTGTGGCAAGTTTTTTCTTTCTCTGCATACTCCAGAGCTTTTGCCACCTACTTAAAGTCTTATTGAAAACCCTGGTGACCAACATCAATTTTCTCCTAACAACATCAGTAAATCATCAGAGAGGAAAGGTTATGAGAATAATAATAAAAATATGATCAGCATTAACAAAAATGCTAGGAAATGCATGAAGATCAGTTTGGAGAAATTATATGATTGTGGATATTGGGGAATTACTACATGTATACATTTTATGTTTGTTTATTTTTAGGAAGGATCTGGTCTTAAGTCACTTCTTCCTAAACCAAAGCACAGCATCACAATGAAAGCTGATAACCCAAACAAGCCCTCAGTGAAATTAGCCAGTAGACCTTTGATACCTCATACACTCACTAAGAAAGCAAAAGCTGCAGAGAAAATGCCGCAGAAAACAGCTAAGGTGTTAAACCAGGTAGAAGGTGCTATAAGTGATGATGAAGATGAACCAGTTAGTTTCTTTACATTCAGTGATAAAACTGAGAGCTTAATAGATGAAAAGACTGAAACCATCCAAAGTCAAGATGCTAAGAGCAGCTCTGCTTTAAAGGTTCATGAGCCAGTTCAAGAAATTTCAAATCAGGCTGTGACCTCATTTTCGGTTGGCGAGGTGCCCTCTACTTCACCTACATTTCAAGGCAGTGCCGGTTTGACTGAGTCAAAGCAGCAAGTGATGGAGGTGCCTAGTTCACAAGTAGATTTTGGAAGTGGAGAAAGCTTCAGTTCAGGGGAATTAGAGACAAAGACTTACTATTATGAACAACAACCTGCACAGAATCAGCAGTATCCAGGCTATTCTGCTAATGATTATGTAAGTATTAGGTGACATACATTTAATGCGCCATCTCTAATAATAAATAACAGGGTTCCTTTTATTCCACTCCTCCCCAACCCCCATATGTCCAAGTTTGTACCCAGCTGCAAAATTGCAAAAAATTGGAGAAATTGCAAAATTTGCTAAAATGAATAATAATCCAAGTGTTAGAAGAAGGAGAAGGGTGCTCAGCAAAAACTGCAATTTTTTCAAAAATTTCAAAAAATTGAGGAAATCGCAAAATTTGCTAAAATTAATATATTCATGTGTTAGAGGAGGTAGAAGGGTGCAAGACAAAAGCTGCGATTTCATTAATGTGACAAAGAAGTGCGAAAAATCGCAAGTAACCTGAAAAATCGTCAGACTTGGGATTTTTCGCAATTTTCGCAACTGGCTTTCAAAAAATCGCCAACCTTGCGATTTTTTCAAGATGTGAATTTCAAGTTCTATATTAAGGTTGTCCACACCATAGCTAGTAGAGGAATACTACTAACTATGTCTATACCAAGACAGAATCCATCTCAATGCATGTACATATATAACCGAAATGTGGAAGGTTTGTTACAATAAGGCTAGAGTTTCTCAAAGTCCTTCCGTTCTCATTTCCGGTTCCGGTCCTCCGACTCGCTTTTGCCACAGAAAACATAAAAAATCTACCGCTCGCGCTTCACGCTCGTGAAAAGAATTGAGCTTTACTTTTAGGCAAGTCTACAATAAGGTTTAAAGCCATTAAAAGGCTGGTTAACACGGTTGATGCAAAGCGAACTAAAAAGAAAACACAAACAAACCCACATATGAACTACATGTTTGTCAACATAAATTCAAGCACCAACATGGCACTAGCTATCTGGGGATGCTCAGATGTGCAAGGTTATCCTGCTCGGCCAAGTGCTCGGGTTTATGTTGGACATGAAACATCCCTCATTCTAGGCTTGATTACCTGCCGTTGTTCGGGGAAAGAGCCCGCATTCCTTCTCGGGGAGGAGGAGGATCGGACTCGAGAATTTGGCAGAAATGAAGCCTATCCGTGCAATATCTTTTCACTTGTCAACCAGCCTGGGAACAATGATGTCACATTTACAAAATTTTCAACTCCTTTTTTCCAGCAATATTACAGCCACAACACTGGTTATTATGGCCAAGAATCAGAAGCCTATACATACACTTACCCCACAGGCACCCCAGCACAGGAGCAAACCCAGTTGCAAGAAACAAATAATATTGATCTAGAAAAGGTCATGGTATATATTGAATGTTGTGTTATGTTGTTGTTTAAATTTTGTTGGCATTTTTCCTTGTTGCTAGCCTGCATGTAGTTGTCTTCCTAGTCATTCTTTAGAAGTAGGAGTAGTCTCTAATCCACGGGCTATTAGGGAGTTTAAGCAACGGCGTTTTTGAGCCACGAACATCAACCGGAAGTGGACTTTTTGCACTCCTCGGCCGTGATTTTAAATAAATTCTTGGGCAAATTGTCTCTGTATGAGTAAAGACAATACAAATTTGGTAGCATCAGGGTATATTAAAAGAGAAAAAGGATCACTTCCGGTCAACCTGCATCGCTCCAAAACGTCGCTGCTTAAACTCCCTATTATTTTGTTTCAAACGTTGTTTTCACTAACTCAGTCATAATTTTTATAACAATTTATTGTATGATTTTCTTAGTTACACAAACTCAAAGGGAAGAGAAATCGCCACGAGGAAATTAACATTGTTGATGTTAATGCTGACGATCAGATTGGCAACTCTGCTGAAATGGTGGCGAAATATGGCACAGAGGAAGTAGCCCATCGACCTTCACGGGTAAAGGGTTGTTTATATATATCCTGATTTAGCTCGGCATTACTTTATTTGTACACATACCGTAAAATTCCGAAAATAAGCCCCGGGGCTTATATTTTTCAAAGCCCCTTTTTGAGGGGCTTATTTTTGGAGGGGCTTATATTCGGAGGGGCTTATCTACGGAGGGGATTGGGCTAGCCTTACAGTTGGAATGAAATTTACCATTTTTGCTTTGTTTTACTTTGTATTTGAGGGCAATTTCCAAGTACAAGCCGCCCGGGGGGCTTATATTTGGAGGGGCGATTTAACGGAGGGTTTTTTGCAGTATGAGTTTGGGGGGCTTATATTTACATACGTACTTTATTGTTACCTCACCAAAGGGGCTTTTCAGAATTTGGAGGGGCTTATACATGGAGGGGCTTATTTCCGGAATTTTATAGTAGTTTGACTGTTTCATGTAATGATTCGATAGGTGGGGAGTCCTAATAACTCGACGGACGTCTCTATTTATAAGAAAGGTCTTCCACTGTTTGCACAAGGGTATAAGTTCAAAGTATAATTATGAAATTGCTCCACTTCATTTAATGTTAAAGTAGCTATGTCACGCTATTTGTTATCTTTTTGAAGAGCTAAAATGTGTCTCCACATCAGTTGAATTCTAAAAATAATGGTCTGGTTTCGTTATTTAAGACTATTTGTAGGCATTGAAACTGTTTCCTGTCGTCCGTTGCCACGGATAGCAAGGATGGACATGGATTGAAACTTGAAAAAGTTGAGCCAACTTTTTCAAGTTTTAATTCTATGCCAGCAAAAATCGCCCAAAAAGATTATGAGTATTATGGTCTGGGTAGTGCCCATTGATGAGATTTGTTTGATATCTTCTTCACAACTTTACTGGAGAATTTCGTGTATGGGCACAGGCGGCCCAAGCTCAGTGTGAGAGTTTAATCATTAATACCTGTGGTTTCGTATTGAGTACTCCTTAAAATGGCCGTCCGTGAGCATAAAGGATTTTGGGAATTCAGGTAAAAGATTCCTTAAAATGGGATGAACATAAAGGGTTTGTATGGGAATTCAGGTAAAAGATTCAAGAATACAGATACTCGCTAGAATTTTCCATAAAATACACCTTACCTTAGTTATTCTACTTGTTTTTGCTTGCTGTGCGGTTATTTTCCCGATCTATTGCGATTTAAGCGATTTTCCGTTAACCCCGAGTAACAACGCAGCAAGCAAAAACAAGTAAAGTAAATAAGGTGTATTTTATTGAAAATTTTAGAGAGTATTTATATTCTTGAATCTTTTACCTGAATTCACATACAAATCCTTTATGTTCACGGCCATTTTAAGGAGTACTCAATATGAAACCACCTGTATTAATGATTAAACTCTAAAACTGAGCTTGGGCAGCCTGTGGTATGGGTAAGGGCACTAAGTAATGACTCCAATACAGAATTGACCTAGACAACAATATTGACAGCAATATTGACAGCAATATGCTGTTGACATATCCCCATACCGGTAAATCTGTCTAACGAATGTGAATGATATTTTATTGCAGAAAAAGAAGGACATGCCTACAGCTCAACAGAGGAGAAAGCATCAAATAACTTACCTAGCCTATCAGGTAAGTCGCGTTTGCCACGTGGAGGGTAAATTTCAGGACAAACATTCATTAATTTTTACTTCCATTAAATCCTGTCTTCTTTATAATTACAACCGTCGTTGAAAATAAATCCAACGATCTGGACGATAGCGATTGTAAATATCAAGTCGATGATCGCCGCTTTTGCTATGATTGTTGTAGAGCTGCTGTACGTCATAATCCCCACCGCTCACCGAATTTTCTTTTCAACGATCATATGGAAACCAGGCTTTACAAGGATCAAGAGAGGCCCTTGCCCTACACTTTTTTGGCAATTCAGGCGAAAAAATTGAATATTAAATACACACAAGGATGCAAGCTACTATAACACAATTTCTTATCATCCCCTGTTATTCTCGAACAGGTCCTTGTTAGTCAACTAATGGGGAACCCCATTACTACGACCAAATGACCGAATGTTTTTTTGTGCCCCAGTTATTCCTCGCTGACATTGTCGTATGAGACACTGAAAAAACCATGAAACTGTTTCCTTTCAAAGTCCCTAAGCAGGGGATAGCAGTGTAGTGTTTGCGAGAAACTAACTTTGTTTTCTTTTTAATCCCAGGCTAAAGAAAGGGAGTTCGAGCTACGACAACAGTGGTCTGCCAATCGACAAACACGGAGACAGACTCAGTCAAAGTATGGGTTTTGATGCTCTTTGTGACGCTTATTTCGGTTCCTATCTAGTAACCTTGTGCTGCAAATGGCTTTTGTATGCCTTCATTTCTTGGTGACGCTAGGAGTGGCGTTGTGCGAAGAAGGAAAAGATGCACTGCTGTAGACTAGCCTACATAGGAACAATATCAAACCAGCGTTCAACAAAGGAAAGAATTACATTGATGCTTGTGAGATACTTAGCTGTAAGCCTGGTGTAAGCAACCATATAGGAAATACAGGAAATGTCGAAATTATTTTCTACTCGAATTCGAGTTTATGTTGTTTTCATGTCCAAAAGTCCCCCTTTTCGAACACGCCCACTGAGAAAAGACTACCGGAGGCGGACTACCGGAGACAAGTTGAACGAGAATCTTGTTCCAGAAAAGCTTTCCCTGGAACTAGAATGGTCAATACGAGAAGTCAACCTCGTTCCAAGGGTAGACGAGAGACTCTGGGAACAAATGGAAAGGAGGTATCATGGAGCTTAAGGTGGCTGAACACAGTTGGCAGTTTGTGAGTATATGTCATTTGCCAAATCATGGCAAGAGAAAGGTTGCAGCTCACAAGTTGAAACTTGGCAAGTGAAAAATGCACTGATGAAAGATTTTGATCGACAGGTAAATTTCACTTTGGCTCAGTTTACATAAAATTCGCTTATTAGATTTTCCTATGAATTTTCACACAGCTTACTATAATTAATCATTATCATTTGAAATTTATTTGACCAAATTTTAACAGACGGGTTTTTAGATAATCAATAATAATTGTACTGTAATTATTAAATGTCACAAAATTCGTCTGTTTAACTTCCATTTAAAGTTCTCTTTATTTAAAATACGAGAAAATTAAAATTCTGCCAAATAAATTATCACAAAATGTCTAATGAGTAGATTTTGAGAAATCGTCTTCTTTGTACCATTGCTTTTTCTCCGCCACGTTTGTCTAATTTAAAACACGCGCCGTCACGTTAGTTACCGCTGACCGCCCGCTGTGTTCAGCCATCTTAAGCGTTAAGCAACGGCGTTTTTTAGCGACGAACGACGACCGGAAGTGGACCTTTCGCATTCTTGGACAGTGGTTTTGCCTAAATTTTCAAACAAATCCTCTCTGAAGCAGTTGTAGCATTAAGGCATATTGAAAGGAAGAAAGCCTCACTTCCGGTTGCCATGCGTCGCTCAAGTTCACCCTTGCTTAAACTGGACCTTTATCTGTAAAATAAATAATGGTAATAGGACTGAGTGGAGTCCAATTCGGTTTGTAATTGTACGATTGATTAACAAAATCAGACGACCGCTTAGCGGGAGTCCGATTTGTTTAATCACGAGTATGATTACAGACCGAATCGGACGAGACGAAGTTCGGTTACCAATTAATCATGACTTCAACAAAATTTGAGGTATATAAGGCTCTTTTTTAAATAAAAATACAAGAAATTCCAAGTTTTTTTTGCCACCAGCTAAAAAAACAGTCATTTAAGGGCGCGCGTGATGGCGCGTTTTATTCAATTACTTAGGCATGACGCGTACTGTCCTATTACGGCTGAAATCAGGGCATTTGATAGCCAATCAGATTTGAGGAATTTGTTATAGTTATGATTAAGCAGTTAATGCACCAATCAAATTTGAGGAAATTGTAATGGTTATGATTAAAGCGAAAATCATGTTAAGAAAATATTCCGTGTCATTTGCTTCTGTCGGCTGTGTCTTCACATGCTCTATGAAAATCAACACCATGAAGTTGAGAGTACCCGTAATTCCGCCCTACTTGGTTTTCACTAAAATAAAAGAATAAGATCACAAATAGTTTTTACTTTGAAATTTAATTTACCAGGATGAATCAGTAGAAAGAAATACGTAACATGCAAACCTGGCATATTAACTCATGCATTTTAAGTTAAGTATGTACAAAAATGTTACAACGCATGGTCCCACGACCTTACTGTGATCTCTTCGATAATGAAGATAATTCTTATACGAGAACGATATAGACAGCCACACAGAAGCATGTAACTATTATTTTGTAATCTGCAATGACCGCTAATGTTGGCCAGCGAGCGTTTTTCTTTATGCGATAATATAGGCCTTATAATGTGAAGAGGGAACAGTTTTATTGCAGTCCCTTCTTCATTGATACTTTCCTAGACGGTACCTCTCTAAGAGGCCACGTTCGATGTAGGAAACGGAACGCGTTTTAAAAGCCCTTCTCTTGAAAGAGGCAGCCAGTTGTTTTCCTTCTAGCGTAAGTTCACGTCTTTTCCATTTCCTCCACCATTCGTTCCTTCTTGAACAAGCAGGCAATTAGGTCAATAATCTTAAGCAAAGGCGTTTTTGAGCGACGCACGTCAACCTTTTAATATGTTTTGACGCTACCAAATTTTGCTCTTATGGACACGATTTGCCCGAAAATTTCGGCAAAACCGCTGTCCAAGAATTCAAGAAGCTCTCGTCCGGTTGAAGTACGTCGCTCTTACAGTTAGTCCTGAACTTACATGAGTTATAATTCCAAACGCAATTGAACATGTGTTCCCTACAATCCATTCTGAGCACTGATGAATCCTTAACCATTAAAGCCCCAATATTCACATACAAATTCTTCATATTGATCTTCATAGATCCCTTAAGAATT